AATAACTACCCTTGCTGGTTACTCTAAGTGTCAGAGGGGATGGATGCCGACGTATTGACAGTAGCGTTTAGTGACAAAAATTCACTATACACTACACTAATTTACTTCTGGGGAATATAGTTAAAAAATAGTATATGCATGTATAATATCTGTTAATGTATTACATATAATAATTAAGTTATTTAATATTATACTATTATACTTGTACTGTTGTACTGTTACTTTAACATAAATGGGAAGCCTGTATATTTTTAGTAAATAAATAATAAATAAATAAATAATTTAATATAATATCACATAGCTAATGCATTTCTAAGACTGGTGCAACTGCACCAGGTAAACATCGCTCACCACGCCTCTGCACAGGTATTGATATTATTATATTATTTATAAGATCAATTATGCAGCCGCAGTAGATAAATTATATATTTAAAAGATAGTATATAGGTGTAAATTGAGCATACAGGGTGATTTATTTAACGGTCATTATCTCAAAAAGTATTTAGATTTTTTAAATTAATTTGAGAGGGAACCCTTGTGGTACTCCTAACCATTTATGTAAACTTAAATAAACTTAAATATTTAGGTACTTATAAGTTATAGGCAATGATCGTTCGAGTTCATTTTTTATTCATTTGAAGTCTCAAAAAATATTTTGTTGAGGAATTTGAAACATACTCTCAGGATTTATTTTTTATTTTATAATATATAATTTGGGTAGCTATCATTTAATATTTATATAGGTACTCGTAAATAGCTACCAATTCGACGTGGGTGGGCATGTCACTCTATAGTCTACGCGGTCTTTACCATTGGCACGTTGAAATATAGTTGACGAAATCTATTTTTGTGCTACTGTTGAGGAATATTAATTTAATACCTACATAAGTAGTCCATAATATATGCGGTGGCACAAACTTCAGTTTCGGGTGTAGCATACAAGTATAATATGAAATCTGCAAACTAGCCGATTTTCTATTATTTTCTAACCTATAAGCTGTCCCAGAGGCCAGAACCACTAATGATGATTTAATTTAGGTCTTACCATTACGACCACATACCAATAAAATTGTATCTCTTTTGAAAAGTATAATCATATCGCGGCTGGGTATAGAAATAATTAAAATAAATAACAGTACTGAGCACAAACATTGAGTTCAATAGTACGAGTTTATACTTTTATAGTATGATATAGTCGGCTATTTTGCGTTAACTTAAATTAATTCATGGACCTACAAGATTAATGTGTATAATAAGAAAGTATATCATATATACCTATACTGTCTTGATGTAGAAGTTTCCACAGATTTACTGTTAGTCATAGTTGATTATTATTATTAATATTATTTTACATAATATACTGGGTGGCTAGACAGTGAACACCGACAACTATTATTTCAAAATATTTTTCTGAGAAAACAATAAATTAATGTTTTTCGCAATCTTATGTATTATTTTGTATAATGAGTATGCATAGCACATTGTCGACAATTTTCGGTATACGTGATTATTCTCGAGTCTTGACGCTTTGTCAATTTTTTTTGAAAATTTTGTAAAATGGTCTTCCAAAAAAATATCATTATAATTATTTAACTAATTAAAACTCGAATTTTTAACTAATTAAAGATGCTTTATAAAACGTAATGAGTAACCAAAAAAAAAATAAAATAAAAAAAAAATAAAATTAGAATCAAAAAATGCAATTTATTTCCAATAACCCAACGGCCCTGGCGCACAAATGGAAAATATTTGATTTGATTAAGTCTTATGGAGTTAAAATTTACAGACCTCCGCACAGTAGCTGCCCAGCAATGCGATAATTGACGGCCGCGACCTAAACATAGTTTAAGTACAATATCATACATGTACGTCCATATACTACTTTAATATCCTCAATTCACACTCCTATATATGGTGAGTACTTACTATAACTTGTATACGGCACGTGTGGTTTTCTATAAATAAGTAGAGAACATTTAAGTACCTAATAACTATTAAAGGTATAATAAACAGTTGTTGCGTTTCACGGGTATTGAAAAATCGTGAAACAATTCTATAATTGTTTCAGCTAAATTATTTGTTTTGTGCACAACAAAAGACAAGTTTCCTATTACAAAAATATAGTTTTAAAGTGTTAAAAACAGCGCAGGTAAGGGTCTGGGTCCGGTGCTTTTGAAAACCCTCTGCAGGTTCTGTACATATTCTATGTAGGTGTCTATTTCATGTACATATATAGCCTATTAAGCTTTACTTATAAACCTAACATTAAGTTTTTCCACCGTTTTTTTAGGTAGTCCACTTGGGAAAAAAAATAACTCCACGATGTTCATAGTTAATATAGCCATTGCCCATTAGTCGACACGAAAACACCATGCACGATGAAGCATTAACATTTGAGACGTAATAATATGTAAGTTTATATAAATCATTAAAATTATATATAGGAGGAATTAAGTGGCATGAGCGATGAGCCGAATTTTCAATACGACATGCGCTACTCCACTCATCTCAACTTAAAATGCTAATTAATGAAAAAAAACCATACTCCGTATATAGTTGATATTATAGTTGTTTGCTATTTATTTAAATACATATGTAGGTATAATACATCAGCACTTCAAAAAAGGTTTTCTGCAGGGGCGGACTGGGGCAACATTTTGGCCCGGGAAATCTATATTTTGACCAGGCCCTTGCCATTTCTCATCATCACAAAAATGTAAAAACTTAAATATACCAACGTTTTATTCAATGAGGAATGCAGCCTCTACACATTTTCAATTTTCCCAGAAAACAACTTAAGATTTTTTTTTTTTTCATTAATTGTTTATGGCATCAACTAAGAGGTTATTAGCCAGGGGTTTTTGGGACTGTTGGGTTCGGAACTCGTGTGAAACTTAAGATTTGTTAAACTAAACTTACCAAATAGTTTCAATATGTAATTTTAATTTTGTTTAATATTAATGAAGTACTTCACAAATAAATAATATATTGGTAAAAGTCATTTAATCATAACATAATAATATTTAATACCTTATGTAAAAATATAAAATATTATGACACTTATATTGTAGTATATTAACTTTTATTAGTTATAACTAGAGTTAGGATGTTGATGACTTTTGCATTTTTTTTCCTTTTATTCTGTACAATGCTATCCTAGCTAAAAATTTGTTTCATGCTCCCTTGATGCAGAATATTCTAATTTTATTTTGCATTTTTTTGCATTTTTTGCATTTTCAGCTATAAATGGCTTTTTTTTGTTTTTTAACGTCATTTTTCAACATTTTTAAGTCATTTTTTCATCTTTTAGAGCATTTTTTACAAATTATAGATTTTAGGGCAAATGTTACACCCAAGTTTGGAAACAAATTTAATTTATTTAAAATCTAACTTTGGATTTGGACTATTAGTAAAAAATAATTTTAATATTATTATTGTGGGGTTTTTGTTGTGATTACATTTATCGCGTTCCGATAAGATTTACTCTTTGAGTGTTATATATTGAATTATTTAAATGCTTAATTTATTTATAATTCATATTTTAAATTACTATTACACCCATTATTATACCCATATCTCTAATAAAAATTATTATTTATAAATAAGTGTTTTCACTTACTTAATTAGTATTTTAGATAATTTTTAAGGTCATTTTTTGAAGTTTTCAGAGCATTTTTGCATTTTTTTTAGGGCATTTTTGTGTGTTTTTTAGGTTATCAACATCCTAACTCTGGTTATAATTAGATTTAACTCATTTTTCCTTTGGAAATAAATTATATTCATATTGCATACCTATTATTTAAAAAAAATACTGGGGAAAAATAATAATTTTAGGTAATAGATAGGTATTTACATTTTTAATGCTTATTTGCGGTTGATCTTGATTGCAAAGATTTTCTTGCATTACTAAAATAATATATTATTCAAATTATTGATCATACACAAACTCCTGATGGAGTATCAGCCGAACCAAAACCTAAAATCTATTTTTAAACACCAAATGTAAACAATTTTTCATACACTATTTGTATGAAGTACGCATCTCAAAATTTGTTACATAAATACATTTTTGAAAAATATTGTAGTAGTGCATTTTACGAAGTAACGAAAATATCGTTCTAACGGAAGTGCAAACCGTACATAGTGTCATCTGTAACCATCGTACGGCTGGGATTTTAATATTTTATGCTCAAAAACAACGCGTTTATAGGTATTTATTTGAGTTAAAAAAAGTTATAAAAACGTGTTGTACAATGATGATTTTTTTTCAGTTGTCAGCTTAAAACACTAATGAAACTCAAGAACGGAAATGTATACATCTCTGAGGATTGTTTTGGAATCATCACTATTTTCGACTGTGTGGAAACACGATCGTACACACTAGACGGGTATTGGATTAAGAACTTACGAGTTAAGGACTTTAACCCCCAAAACTACATGACGCGAGGCCCGCCAAGACTCGTAGTAATTAATGTATTAGGCGGCCAAGACCTATAGTGACAATGGGTAGATGGTCACCTGCAATAATTATTCTTCGGGTTTTCGCGGTATTTTTACTCATTGGTGAAAAACGATTTCAAGGCACCGTTTCACATTCATCACAGACACGTGTGGTTTTATATCGATAAAATTAATAGAATGAGACACTGATCGTGCGAAACAATACTTATAATATCAAAATAAGCTGCGACATCTAGGTTATTAATAAACGTAAATGTAGTGTTTAAAGAAAAAAAACTATAGACTTAGGTTTGAAGAGTATTTTATTAATACACGTCAATGAAAACAACTGATGATAAATTATTATTTATATTGATTCCGTGTTCAACTGTTATTGGTACTTGTCAAAATCTGAGTTACTGATTCTTGTGTCCTTCGGGGGAGGATAAGGCTAATCGATGGGTGCAATTTAACGATATCGAATTTGAGCTTATTGGAGAACGAATATAGCCGTTTAACATATTCATATTAATAAAACATAACACTATTTCATTACATACCTATTTGATCTTCGTCCCGTCCGCAAAATAACAAAAAATATAATATATTATTGACTATATCATGAGCACAGCCATGAGCTGATGGATATTCCAATGATTGATTTCTGTTTTCCGCGCTATCTATCCACCGTTTGATTGGCAAATTCGCGGCGTCGCTCTTCTTTATCAAAGCGTCTGGACTTGACACTGGACAGTGATAACGAAACTACGCAATAATACAATGACGTAATACATAAACATTAAAATTATTTAAAATTTAAAACTTAATAATGTAATACTACGATTATTTACTACCTATTTTGTATTTTATTATATAGTACCTTCGTTGTACATACAACACTATGACTCAACACGACAACACTCGGCTCTCGGGGTATATTCACCCCTTTGTGTATGTAATGTGCCACACAAACGACATACCTACCCACTTTATGGAATCAGTAGAAAATACCGACATTTTGGGTAACTACTGATTTTAAATTCTTTGTAATGTGTTGTACAATATTTCAATTTGCAAACGATTTGTGAGAGTACAACTGTTCCGACTTTTAAGTCTCCCATAGTGTGTCAGAGCGATGTCCAGTTACACAGTGTGTTCATCATATTAGTCGGATAGAGTATTTAATGTTGGTTACCCTAGTCTATAACCCGTTATATATTGTAGATCAACCGTAAAGAATATCTGACAAGTAAGTGTACCCTCAATTTGATTTACATAGGTACTTATTTGCTGCTTCTATTGACTGAATGTGTACCATACATTATTATTTTCAACAGACATCCAGACATGGATGATCAACTAGATATTATGTTGGAAAATTCCAATTCAGAATTTATTACCTTATCGTATGCTGATCATTCATTGATCCCTCATCCTGAACAATTAGCTGACGAGTGTGCGGATATAAGTAAGTAGCCAAACATTTGTATTGAGTGTTGATAATTGAAAATGTACCAAAATTAATAATGTAAACTTTAGAGAAGATAAAAAAAACAATAGATTAACATACAAAAACCATGTTATTGTTAAAAACTCTTTTATCTTATGTAGTCTGATATTTTATACTACCAGTGCAACAAACATTGTCATATTTTTTATCAAGTTATTTGAGTTTTTAGGGTCATATTTATGTTACTTTGATTTGACTGTTAAGTATTTATGGATTGTGATTGCTGATTTCTATTTTTAACCAAATCTATTATTTATAAAGCAAAATTAATAACTGTCCATTGTTATTTCCATAATATTAATTTTAAAAAATGGGCTCCTTGCCTGTATAACAAATTGTTTATTGATCAACAATCTTTGCTTGTGTGTTCAAATATATCCATGTAATTGGCTTTGTTGCGACTTAGCTTTTGATTGTTCAATATAAACTCACAATTATAAAATGATGTAGTTAAATGCTTATTTTCTAAATTTACATATTTAGGTTGTTATTTATCATTACTTATTGTTTAGTTTTAGACCAGGATGATTGTCAAGATATGAGTGCCATGGTTCCATTAAATGATTTGTTGTTGGGGCAAACATTCTTAATAGAGACTAATGAACAACCATTATTTGTAAATGGCCCCGAGGTAAAGTCCTTTGTTCAAATTTCTCTGTTATTTAATACTAATAGAGTTATTTCCTTTACAGATAATTACATTCCAACATATCAATTCTAACGGACAAATAAATGATATCCAGACTGTTTCAAATAATATAGAATCTGATAAATCTACGATTGAAAATATTAATTTTACTATGAATTCTGATGATCACTTTCAAGAAATTTATACAGACCGTAATTAGTTTTTTCTTTATAATAGCCTATTATTTGTACTTACTTGAAATGCAATTTTTTGTCAAATTATTATTTTACAGTTAATAAAACCGATTTGGATATAATGAAAACGGCTAATGACAGTAATAACTTGACAGAACATTTACAAGTTAAGATAAACACTGATATAACTAGTGGGAACTATAGTTATTCAACTGCTATTAAAATATTAGATGATGTCGCTAAAAGTCCTGTTGATACTAATGTAAGTGAGCTTTTGATTAATGATTTTAGTCAGATGAGTAATTTTTATGTTTTATCTAGGGTCATTTTGTTTGTGATTTATGTTTACATGAATTTTACAACTGGAAAAATTATAAAAAACATAAACTTGAACATTTGAATGATAAGCCATTTAAATGTTTGAAATGTTTAAAATCATTTAATTACAATGTAAGTGTTAATAGTTTTCCTTAAATTATTTAATATTATTTTAAATATATATATAATATTATTTTTGTTACAGAATAATTATTTACTTCACATTGCTTCTCATTCAACAAGTAATTTAAAATGTCCAAAATGCAAAAAAGAATTTAAACGCTTTGCTAGCTTCAGGGCTCACCTAAAAATTCATAAAACCGAAGAATTGATTACATGCAATATTTGTGATAAAATATTTGACAATCAGGTACCTATTTATTGTTAATTTATTTTCATTTATAGGCATAATATTAAATATTCAGTGATTTCTGTTTATTGTAATGATGAATAATTCTTAGAAAGCCTAGATGTAAGCGTATAGTAATTACTATTTAATTATTATTTATTCTATGTTGTTTTTTATTATCTATTTACTATCATGTATTTGAATAGATTCAATGTATACTTTCTTAATTGTGATTAAAAAGTAATTTATATTTATTAATATTTATTAAAATAGTAAATGTTGCTACATTTGTAGTTTTAATAATATATATAAACATGTAATTAGTAAAATAAAAGTGTATTCATTTGGTTTGAAGAGAGTTTATTATCTAACTGCCTTCTATAAACCATAGTCGTTTGTTTACGTCACAGCTGATTAATAAGCAGATACTTTATACATTTTCTGTGTTTTTTATAATTTATTTCATGTTTTTATGGTGCCATACAATTTTTTTGTTGTAGTATCGATTGGACATCCATAAAGAAAATTGTATGCAAGAAAATATAATTAATCCTAGTGAAGAAGCATCTGTTGCTTGTATTAAAACTTGTACAATTTGTAATATGTCTTTTTCAACTATATCAGAATATAAAATGCACATCAAAGAACACAGAAAAGTAAGTTTAATATTTTGTTTTTGATGTACCTAGGATAACGAAGAACTTGATCACGAAGAAAATAGTTTGCAATTATACAAATAATTATGATCTATTTGAAAAAATTATGATTTTAAAAAATATTTATTAATTAAAATAAAGTTCATATTTATTTTAGTTTAAGTTACTGTCAATTTTTAATACGTAACTTGTATTCTAACTAAATTTAAATACTTGAATGAATCAATTTTTAAAATTACTCACCATTTAAATATTGATGATCAATTTACTGTGTTAAGATTTTATAACGCATATCATTATTTTATTATTTTTAATTTTAGTTCGATTCAATATTGAAAAAATATCATAAGGTTGCTACAAAATTAAAAAAAATCCATAAAACAAGCAATACAATTAAAAAATTTAAATGTGATCATTGTGATTGGTCATTTAATAAGTCAAATCTTTTACGCCGCCATATGAGAACACATACTGGAGAAAAACCATTTGAAGTTAGTTATTTACAAACTTATTACAATTAGATTATTATACATACATACATACTTGCTTTACATGGGAGTGAAATTATTATTCTTTTTGTATAGTGCAAAGATTGTTCATTATACTTTACTCAACAAAATTCATTAAATAGACATCTGATGAAACATAAAGGAATACGACCATTCAAATGTGAATTCTGTGAAATGAGTTTTTGTCAAAAAGGTCACTAAACAGTATTTATGCACTTTAGATTCAATACATTGTTTAGATTAGAAGTAAAAATTATAATTGGAATTATTATAGGTCATTTGATTAATCATATGAAAAAATGCCATGCTGTTAAAAAAGAAGCTACAAGAATTCATAAATGCTCTATGTGCTCGTGTGTTTACAACAGTGTTAATGCTCTTAGTAAACATTTAAATGTTTTCCATGGAGTAAAAACTAAAAATGTACATGAAAATGTTCAAAGTGAAGTACTAAAGAATGGAGAAACAGTTGATGAAACTATACATTTAATTAAAGGTAAAAAAAATTGTTTTTTTTTGGAGGAGGGGGGGGGGCTTATAAATGCTTTTAAATGCTTTCTTGGAAATTAAATATAGATCTTAGAAAGTCAGGTTTAATCAGTTCATTGTCTAATGATAATATTTGTATTTTGAGGAAATTGTGACTATTTTTATGTAACATCATATTCTATTTTTTAAATTGGAAAAATTGGATAAACCTTACATTTTTAATAGATAAAAAATTTGTATTATAAAGATGTACCTCATGTTGTATATACTTGTTATTAAGTATTAACATTAAACTACAATTTCCCTCGCAACATTTTTCAATAAAATTGATTGAATAAATAGTTTTAAGACGTTGAATTAATCCAAATATCTAACATAAATATTTTTATCTGAGGATTTTTATTCTGATAACCATTTGAAGTAGGTATACTTAGAAGTCTTAGGCTAGAACATAATCTGTAATTTACAATACATGTATCAGATTGAATGAGGTACATAGTTATAGATGATTGGGTTTTATTCATAAAAATTATGATTCAGTAATCTAACAAATAGTATTTGTATTATGTTGACATTTTTTACATTTTAATAAATAATTTGTATGATATTATTTTTAGATTCCTCAAAGTTAGAACAATGGCTCGAAGAAGTAGCTTATGAATTGCAAAGTGGTGACAATAATACAGAGTTAAAGTAATTAACATATCAAATAGTTAATTAAAAATATGTTTTAATATATATTTTATTATATTTTATAGGAATTGCAACAATCCAATTACTACTCAATGTGAATTTGGATTAAATTTGATGGAGAGTGAACACTATGATAACATTTTAAGCCCAATTTCTAATATAGCTAGTGATCACACAGAAATTGAAAATTTGACATATTCTCTTGTAGATGGTATTATATTTTTATTAACAATAGAAATTACAAGCCAATCAATTAAACATTTGATAGTTAGACTTAGTTCTTTAATGTATTATCGCTGCCTTACTAACCTATAATATGATCAATTTTATGTACAGAAGAATTAATTTTAAATTTTAAAATGTATTGATCTACTATAAGATTTAAATTCAAGAATATTATACATTTTGAAAATTTTAAATAATCATTGCTTCAACATTAAAATATAAAAAACAAAAATGCATGTGTGAGATCATTGATAATAATATAATATTCTTACTTTTCAATTTGATTAAGTTCAATTTGTTCTAATATTATAAATAATTGAGTGAATGGATTTCTCTTATTATAAAATTTGCCATATTATGCTTACTTATGATCTAGTAAGATGAAATTTACACATACAGATCAACATTCTTTTAAGTGGATGCTGTACCTGTATATGTTATCTCGGTCTAACAAATATTTAATGTATCAATGTGCTGGTTTCTTATTATAATTTATCAATAGTTAGTATTAAATCTCATTAAAATATTCTTCTCTTTAAATAAGATAATAAGTAAATTTCCTTTAATATCAACTATTTTTTTTTATTAATTACATCCTAACAATTTGTATATAATTTTAAACTCTAATTAATAATTGATTGTGCTTACAATTATATTGTTGTATGCTCCATCATAACTGAAGATATTTGTTTTTAATTAAATTTTTTAGGTGATACTCTTATTGTTCTGAAGAAGAAACAAGACCAACCATTAATCGAAAATGCCATTGTTCAAAACCAAGTATTTCTTTTAAATACTCTTAACATTATGTATAGAATATAATATGATAAATCACTAGTAAACACGTTGAATTTTTCTAACATAGAGTATTATTGAGTATAATTTATTTAAATAAACTAAAATAATTATTAATAGTTAAATATTTTACGTTTGTTTGGTTTGTATTTTCAATCAAATCAATTATAGAAACTCATCAATTTGGATAGTCTTGATCAATATTATACTAGTATTCATCATTCATCATTCATCAGTTAATTTTATCTAAAGAATCTGACCAACCATGGGCCAATAAATTATTTTTTAGGGTCCACTAGCTCACTATTAATTCATTACATTTGTGTTAGAATATGGGTTATTTCTATAAGCTAAATTAATATATATTTTTTTTTATGTTATAGGAAAAGGAACTATTAACTACTGTTACTGAAGATGAATCAGTATCACTAAATGTTGTAAGAGAAACCACTAAAAAGGTAATATATAATTAGATATATATAATATAAATTTAAGTTGCTAAGCACTTGCGAATTAATATATTACTATACTATTAATAATGTCAACAGATGAATTAATGATATTATACTGATTGTTAGAACTTAGTAAGTTAGTGATATTTTCTATTGGCTAATTAGCCCCCTATAAAAATGTAGGGTATTAGGAAAATTAAATATATTTTAGAAATTTTGAGCCCTTTTCTCTCTGTTTTTGGGCTCAAATATGAATTCCTCTTTTTCTATAACAAGTATTAATTAGTATATACTATGTCTCAAAAGAGAAAAATGTTGAACCATCACATAGTTGTCAAACTAAAATTCCTTCAATGAATTCCTGCTGCTCTGTAATTGGTTTTAGCTATAAAATGTATGAATACTTTTATAGTATATCAAAAATTAAAAACTTATACCTTACTTATTTGAATATTTATTTACTTGATAATAATAAAACTTTCTTTTTATAACCATTAATATAATATATTTGTATATTATAGGGAATAAAATCTGTCACAATTGCTACTAATGAATCAATATCATTAAATGTTGAAGAAGAAATCACTAAAAAGATGGTAAATTAATTGGACATATGAGAGTTACTTTGTATTTACTTAATTTTGTGTTATGTTAAATAGATCCCTTCAAGAAAAAAAAAATGTGTTAATAAAATGTCTAAATTGGATGCAAAAAAGAGTTTGTAAGTTTATAAGTAATTATATTATTAATGTTTCATTAAACAATGCACTTACATTTTAGACTAAGAAAAAAAAATGTATGTTCATTGAAATCAAAAAAGAAGAATACTATTAGTAATGAAGTTAAGAGAAACATAAATCATCCAAGTGGTAAAGCTGAGCCAAAAGTTGTATATGTACCAAATATTGCTACTAATTCAGAAGAAAGAACCATTAGTACTGTAAGTAATAAACTCATTTCAATTTTAAGAATGATCTTAATATTATCTTTTTAAATATGGAGACTCAAAAACCCTTGCCAAAAGTATGTCAGTTCTGTGAAAAAATATTTAAAAAGAATGCCGATCTCGAAAGACATGAAAGAACACACACTGGTAACAAACCATATAAATGTGATGAATAGGATTGTAATAAAGCATTTGCCACTAAGAGTTCACTTGAATATCATAAAATCACTCATTCAGGTAAGATGAAACGAGCCGAGTGCCCCCAGTGTAATGGATTATTTGCCACAACATCAACTTTGAAAGTTCATATGAGACAACACACAGGTAATTGGTTATTATTTTTTGGATTAACAAATTACATACCTACCTAATTTTTATGCTTATACATTTTTAAAACAATCCTTAAGACATTATAAGAATAATAAATTATTATAATGAGTTTATTCTAACTTTTTAGGTGAAAAACCGTTTAAATGTCCTGTATGTGGAGATGCATTTCGAACAACTGGACACTTACATACACATGTGATAATCCACGAACGAAAAAAGAAACGTAAATAAAAAATTTGTATCATTTTTATCAAAGTGAAGTTTTGTTTGTGATACATTTTAAAGTAATTATACTTATAAGAATATATCCATAGCTGAGTATCTTGAGTGTAGGCTCAGGGTATGCTAGCCCTCCAATATGAGATTTAATTTGTAATAGTTTTTTACTAAACAATTTGTTTTTAATAAACTGTCAGTAAATTAGTCAGCCATATTTGACATCCACAAATTAGAAATTATCAGGAAATATTCAGCCTATCCCCAGATCTGGCAGTGGCGTAGTTATAATATGGGGATATATTCCCCCCCCCTAGCTTTTATATTCGGAGCAATGAATGCATATTTTTCAATTATGTGATTATTTTTGTTTCAGTTCACAGATTTTTAATACTTTATACAATTTTGACTTTGAGAATGGTTTCTGGTATCAAAATTGAAAATATTTGAAAATTATCAGAACTTTTTTAAATAATCAGAAAAAAAAATAAGTTAGAGAACATTTTTATTCAAAACCGATTCTGTTTTTGGTGTAACTCAAAAACTAATAACCGTGGATACTTTAAACTTAGGAGGAGGAGAAAGCTCCTGTTGTTTATCTGAAAAAATATTCTCCCTTTCCCCATATGAAAATCATAACTATGCCACTGGGCTTGGGTAGAAAACTACACTAAATAGATTAATCAAAATATTTGCTCAATTGATAAAAAATAAAAAATAAAATTTGATAGTTATTGTTTAATTGTCCTCATGCAAGTAAAATAAATTTATTTTGAAAATTTGATGTGATAAGAATCTGTATAGGCATATTATACCCGATATATATAAATGTATGTTCCAAAAATTAATTAGTGTTTGGAACTTTCACTATAAAATTGAATTTGTTTATTATATTTTTTTCAAATAAACACGTTCACGTTCTTTGAAAAATGAATGCTTTCATTTGGTCGTCCATTTAAATGTTTTTATATTATTTTTATGAATCGTTGTAATACCAATATAAAATAGTGGAAATCATTATATTATTGTTGTTATATGTCGAGGCGGACCCACTGGAATTTCATGTATTTTATTTTTATAATTCGTAATCAAATAAATGTAATAGAAATATTATAACAGAAAAACAATATTATTAATCAATATATGCTAAATGGTAAATAAATTTGAATGTCTTAAAAATATAAACATGGTTCATGCTCATGTATTGTGCACTAAATATGATCGTGGATGCATGAATGGCGTTCTTTCCAAACACTGATATCGCATATTATATTAATGTATAAAATATTGATAATTTTGTGATTATATTGTATTGTACAACTTTTTATTAACGTAATAGGTTCCTACTAGCCTAATATTTGTTTAATATCATGAATTGAGATTTGTATGCATACATTTATGTATATCAGCCATGGGCTTAGACCCCTAAAATAAAGTATTCGATTGTTTCCCAAAATATTACCTTTTAAAATTTAACTGTAATTCTTATTTTGGAAATATGGAAACGTACTATTATGATTGTAAAAGTGTACCTACCTGATATAGTTGTATAATCTAATATACTTATATCTAACAATTTGTATCTACATTATATATTAATTAAATTAATGTAAAAACTTTATTTAATATTATGTCTGTAACTGAAGATGTGTTTTATTTAAATCAGTAAATGAACATATTTTACAGATTTTTTATCTGCTTTTTAAATTGGAGTTTATCCTCCTAATCAAATCTTCCAAATGAATAATAGTCAACAAACTGGTTAAAGGTGTAGGTGGTACTAGACCCTCATGTTAGGGGGGGGGGGGAAGAAAATATTTTAATTGTTTATATTGTTAAATTAGTCCACATTTTCGACTAGTACCTAATACCTACTTAAAAAAAAAATAACATGAATTTATTTATTTATTTAATTATCTTATAACTCCATGTGTTCTTGATCATCTGGATCATTGTCACCTAGATTATTTAACAATTAATTTAGTAGGCGGAAAAAAAGTCCACTGAATAAAAGCCTAGAAAAAAAATTAAGTATGAATGTGAATACATGTATTCTACTCTTAATTAGTTATTAATAATTTATAAATTATTATAGCCAATATAGGCAATTTTGGATGCGAAGACTCAATTAATAAGAAACATTTTTTTACCTATTTATTCAATGAAAAATTTCAAATAAAAATAATTTTATGTCTGAATATGGCTTATGCCTTATGCAGTTATGCTTAACTATTAATTATATATAAAAAAAACTTTTAATAGAAAAAAAATGTTAGTATAAATTTGAACTCATCTATATATAATATTCAGTGTTAAGTTATAAGTCTTAAAACATCAGGGGTATAAGTATAACATCTTAGGTAAATATACACCACACTTATACAAAAATTACACATGATAATAATTTATGACATTATTTTCATTATAATATATTATATTTTGTTATATTTTGTACACGCCACACGGTAATTACTAATGAGCATGAGACTTGAGTACAGGTACGCGTGTTCACATTTATATTTAATTTTTTTCCCGCCATTCATTACCTATGCTTGTGAGTCAGTGTATATTATAGCAACAAAATTCGTATTGAACATACAGTAAAAAAATATTTTTTAAGAGTTAGAAAACCGAGATTCAAGGAACTATATATTTATACTGGTAGATACGGTCCGTAGGAAGGGCAGTTTCATACTCTGCCCCCTCCCCCCCTCCCCCCCGATAGTACCGCCTATGGGCTATAGTTAAGGGAGAATAAACTAAAAACTGGTCTGACTATGCGGTTGTAGGAATCGTGTTTGTGGCATGGATAATATAGTCCTAAGCATATTCATTTTTTCTAAACCGTTCAAAAAAAATTGTCTTGTCTCAAAAAATCGTCACATTATTGCCGGCATAGTACATACATAAGTGTTGATGCCTTGATAGATGATGGGTATAAAATACGTACTTTTTAGGGTAGGGTATTTCGCGGTGGGTGGGTCTGTGAAAATGTAGGCTGAATTTTCTGTTTTTCTAGGGCTGATTTTTATTCCCAGTCCTCCTCTGTATAAAATGGTCAGACGGGGCAAAATGCAAATACTTTAAATGAAATCATTTAAAGTAGGTTAGGTTAGGTTCGGTAGGGGTTCGAAAACAGATAATGTACAGATTATAGGGCAAATCAGACAGTATAATTTCGTGTGATAAAAATGGCAGGGATAATTCGCTAGTTCAAGATATTTGTGGTACAAATAAAATTAAAATTAAATAAATTATTTTAAATTGTTACAAATAAAAATATAATATTAAGTGAGCCTGTGCCTAAACCGTTTTGATGAGGGGTTAGTTCTACCCCGCTTCCCACGAAATTCGCTGAAAGCACACCCTCGTGACTGCTATATGAGTACGTTCAGTCAGTGGTCGAAGTAGGAGGATACGGTGGGAGGCATCCCTTCACCTTTTATAATTCACATTTTTCATCCCTGCACTTATTTTGTACGACTGCTTAAGCGATATATTATGAGAACTATATAAATTATGAAAGGCATCCTCCCACTTATTTTGAGCCACTTTGACCACTGGGTACAGTGTGGAAGTGGAACAGAGGTTTAAAGACACCACTTAATAGCACTGTAGCACTATAACAGACATTTCTAAATTCCTTGTCATAAATACACTATGTAAAAATAACCTCCTAATAGCGGACACATTACTTAAACTGTCCTATGATGCTAGCAATTGAGTTCACTCGATTTTAATAATAAATCAACTAATCGTTAACATATATTTTGTACCTATATCTATTAATTTAATTATACATTTCATATTACTCATAATAATACATATATATGTGCCATAGTCCCTTCTATAGTTATGAAAAACAAAAAAAAGTTAATTGTTTGATTAAAGTTGTAAAATAGGTGTACCGTGTACCTATGAAATAAGTAATTGGTTACCGTCACGCGACATTATTCTAAAATAGGTGTAACATGTCGAATAATTTAATTTACACGATAAAATGTTGTTAACATGGCATTTAAAATCACTGCATGTTGGTAGGTTATTATAAGTATCTGTTATTCACTTAATTCAACCGAATAAAGTATAAAATATAATTTTTTTACAAAATTCGCATCTAAATATTCGATAGTTCCTAAGCCGTGTATTAGGTAGGCACCTATAATATAGAGGACCAACTACCAACTACTAGTATACTACCAAATACCAATTATAAATATAAAATCCTAAATTATTAAATAATAACAACGTGTAAACCTGCTAGTTACCATTTAAGAATAATATAACAATCAATGTAACTATTCAATATTATATTATCACTCTACTCGACTTATATTATTTTACCACATTTCCGTTTTGTTATGGCAACAAATCTCGTATTCAGAATAGTATTGATAGTATAGGTATAGGTATAGATATATATGCTTTTTTTATTAGATATTAGCATAAACTATTAAAGAAAGGTATATATATATATATTTCATATTTCATTAAAAGAACACAGGTGTTGTTCTGTAACAAAAAATTATATTATATTTTCTCAAAACTTATTTTAGTTATGTTATGCCGATATATACACATATATAAATCATAAAATGAAATCAATAACGACTAAGAAACAAAATAGCCAATGTAATAGGCAATAATATATTATATATAGACTTATATATAGTAGGTACCTAAGTATAGATTTAGATTCTGAGCTGAGCGATGAATGTATTGATTTTACATTACCTATTTGTGTTTTTTTTTTTTATTTATAATTTTCGTTTTTTTCGTCATCGCTTTTCGGGGGCAATAAAAATTTTTTAATTTTTTACTTCAGTATCTTTTCTGGTAGGAAATAATGCTCCAGAACAATTTAAAAGCAAAATAGATTTTAATAAGGGTTTAAATTTGTTAACTCGATAATTTATTAATCATGCCCGAATAGGTATGAATATAATAACACATACTAAAGGTAATTTTATAAAATATTACTTGGCCACCCAAAGCTGCAGGTAGGGGTCGTGTGGTATACGTACCATATACTCCTATATACCTACTTGGCGTTGGCATAATGAGTATAGGTAAAATAAATCGCCAACTGTTTAAATGGTTATAGTTTTATTCAAATCGATAAACCTAATAAATGAAAATCGATGTGAGGGTTGATGACGCTTGTCACTTTTTCAGTTTTTCGGGGGAGGAAATTAGTGTAAATAAAAATGTTTATACTATATTTGTATTATTAATAATAACCAGGGTTGTTATTTTATAGCATTTGCATAAGTCTTTGAGATGCTTAAAAAATAGCAGAGTACGCTAAAAACTTGTTTCATGATACCTACAGAGAACTCGAATTAAAAATTTTATTTTGCTTTTTTTTGCATATTTTATGATTTTTTATTTTTTATTGTTTTTTTTGGGTTTTTTGAGACTTTTTTGCATTTTTACCTGTTTTTTAATCAAAATCTGTCATATTTTATGGAATTATATATTAGTAAACGTGTTTTTAGATTTTTGTCAATCGAATTATCAAATAAATTGTAAGTATACATAACCGTACGGCGATTATATATAGGTATAATATAATACTAAGATAATTTCGTAATGGGTATTTGGTTCTAATTTTTGTTATCTGCTGATTTTGTTGGGTTTTTTTTTTATCTATTTCTACTGCGATTATTAACCGCCGATTATCAACATTGTATAGTCAATTCATTTTATACAGTCGTCTCGTGTGCAGCCACCTATTATGCGATTAGTGTTCAAAAAGCAAAAAAATGTTTAGACAAACCTAATCTTGAAAATAACTTGGCATACATTAAATCAAATTGTTCTATTTCATCTGTAGCCAATGATAAATTGCAAGCAAAAAGTCTGTCCTTAGCCACATCATTCAATATTATCGAAAATATCGAAGAAACGCTGAAAACACTAAATGGTGAACGTGGTAAACCTATATATCTCAAATTCAAAAAATGTTTTAGAAAAAAATAGTGGTTTGTCTAAATTAAAACATATTTCAAATATCTTGAATGGTGGAGAAAATACAAATATTGGTGAATTACTTGGTGAACTTACATGTAGCATTGTAGCGATATTGTATATTTCAATTACAAACCAATTGTATCAGTGGACGTCGAACGTTCATTTTCGACGTATTAGACTTTGTTGGCAGACAACCGCCGCCGTAAATTCTGGCCCAGCATTTAATAATTCAACGTAACACTCAAGGTAAACATTTTAAATCTCTTACTTTTTATTTAAAATTTTTAAAAATAATTGACTGGGTAATTTTTTTACAGCCCCTCGGGATTCTGACCAGAGTGACTAATCTATGTACTTATAATAATTTCAAATTTATAAGTGATTATTGATTAATTAATAAATTTCCTTTTTTCTCTTCATATTGTGTTGTTTTTATTGCGTATAACACATATTTAGCGATAGTTAAGGTCATATTATAGTGCATATTTACGCAATTTTAAGTGCTATAAAATCCCAACCCTGATAATAACGTACCTATTATGATTTACGAATAGGTAGATATTGGTACTATACATAGTAGGTTAGACATAGTCTACAGGTAAAATTTATTCACGGATAGGCGTATTGAGGCGTATTCAGAGCACAGAAACTACTCATAGTAATAGTTGTTATTGTTATACGAGCTATGTAAATATTTGTGGGACCCTAAAAATAATTTTGTCAAACGATATTTTTTTTTTAAATAATAAACATTACATTTAATTGGATGGTCGTGTTTATTCGCTTTATTCTACGCTTCTCTTTCTCCGCTTTAAAAATAAAAAATATATACATTTATTTCATTATTACGTTATTGTGTTCTTAGAATTTTGAATAAATATTTTTGGTTATTTTTTTCGTAGGTACGTGACTTTGTATAACAAATATGGACGGGAGAGAATTATGGTTTCAGAAAATATAGCCGTGCGGTCGCGTTTTTATCATTATTCTCGGTATTACATTTTCCGAATAAAACTGCTAGTGGGTACCGGATTTCGAATAAAATAACGTAAAGCGCGGTATAAGAACAGTTACCTATTTATTATTAAACCTGCATCGCAAAAACTTCTTCGGGATTTTCAAAATTAATACAATCAATATGGATAGGGACTTTCCTACCCACATAATTTAATTTGATTTAAAACCCGACCAACAATTTTCTCTCTCGGAGCTATGTACCGTACCTATTTTATGTGTTTATTTTTTTTTTTTTTTGTAAGATAATTTTTATTATAATTCATTGCTACCTAATTTTAAAATTGAAATTATATTTTGTATATTTTATGCTCTGCAGTGTGGTTGATTATGATTTATGAGCATATTATATAATATCTAGTAATTATTTGTCCGTTCAATATAATATAATAAATATGTATAATTTGTTAATTTATATATGGTGATTTACCTTCGTGCTCCCCCCTCCCCCACGTTTTTCATTAATGATTACATAATTATACATAATGGCATAACTATTATTCTTGGTAAGTATATATTGATTAATGATTAATTAATCAGAAATTACTACAGTTTTAATTTAGTTACTCAAACATTTTCAAAAAAAAAAATATTAACCACCATAAACTGGTGATTTTAATAAAATATAATAAAATTATTAATATTATTTTGATAGGTAGGCCACTTTCATTAAAATTCAATATATCCGAAAGAATAATATTATAATAGGTACCTACGCGTTATTTTTTATTGAATCCTGCAGATGACGTTATAAATACTTTTGTTTGGTCTGTTTTAAATCACTCAAAAACGGCACAGAGGATCCCTATAATACAAGCGCTCAGCGAAAAAAAAAATACCGAAGCAATATATATTCATTTTTTCACCCAGTAAAACTTTAATCGGACAACTGTATGGTATTTGTTTGGTTTTCTACCCAGTGTTTTTGAAAATATGATGAACATAGTTGCTTGAAGTTGATCAAGTTAAATCCACACAAATAAAGGTAAACGTTTCCAATAAAAAAAATTATATCTGAAAAAGTATAAGAAAATGCTATTAATATAATCAATGTTGATTAATTTGATGCTTTTCGACTAAAAATAATATATTTTACATCGCAGTATTTGACGAATAATTTTAGGATTTGTTTCAAATTTCAAGTAAGGATCGGTTACGAGACGTACGGTGCTTACTTTGCCGTAACATTCGCGTCCGTCGTGCAAAAGTCTTATAATATTTTGCTTACGGTTACTACAAAAAAAAAAACCACCCTTAACAATAAAAACACAACAAATCTAATATTATAAATACTCACAGTAAATATTTAATGTATACATAGGAACCTATATATATATATATATTATGTATATGCTACACAGTTATATACGCGTGTTTACTCCGTTACTCGACATCGACCAAATTATTTTGGCTCATTTTTTGGCACCAACACCTGCCAAAAGTGCTTACAACGTCCGCCGCGACGTTTATATCCGGTCGGACTTAGAGTGTGAGATACCTATTCTCGTGTAGTTGTGTTAGTTTAAATATATATATATATATACTATATGTATAGTTTACGACGTTAAAATAGTCCGACTACGACATAATAATAGGTAGGTAGTATATCCGGAAGACATTTGCGGCGGTTAATCCCGAAAAGCTGATAGTCAGTACGTGTGCGGAATTATTGCAATATTGAATGTATATACCTACCTCGTATGCAAGGTGTACTCACCAAACTCGCTAATATTCGTGTTGTCCTTTTATAAAGTGTTTGTTTGAATTCTGTTTTTTGGAATTTTTAAGTTTTTTTTCGATCAATGTTACCTCCGTCAAAAAACTTTAAAGTATAATACAATGTGCCCTATAAGTTTTTGTTAGTGGAAATTAACAAAAAAGTTGAGTCCACAATACTTTTTTATGAGTGTTTGAAGTTGAAATTTGTATAACATTGGATGTTCACTAGATTTCTCATGTAGCGATTTTCTTATTTTGTTGTAACTGTAAATACTTGAAATTCCCACCGTATGTTTATTTTATCAATTCATATACTTGATACAATTTTCAAAATATTTTTTTTACTCGTTTTGAGCTGTTTAAGGACGTTTTCATAGAATCTTTTTTCTATAAATGTCAATAAAATTGTATTGATTAGGTCATGAAGCATGAAAATTGAATAAAAGACTCTTGATATATTGTTACAATATCAGTTGAAAAATACATTAGTAAGTTTTAGGTTAATAATCTTTTAAAGTTCAAATTTTGATAACATTTCTCAAATTAAAAATTGATAAATGATTTTGTAGTAAAAAATGTATTAAATGTTCAACTTTTATAGCTAAAGATTGAAAATTTAAAACAAGGTTCTGCGTAAGTAGTTTATTCTGTAACCAAAAAATATAAAAAATAAACAGACACAGCATTTTTTATAGTTATTTTAAGTTAAAATTTAGACAAAATAACATATTAAGACAAAAATAACGATTTTAGTCATTTTGTTATAATTCGGTTTCGAAGCTCAATTTTACATAAGTATAGGTACATAATATTTTTCCAGCATCACTGATAATTTAAGAATAATATTATTTCAACTTACCGGCTACCGTATTAATAATGACTATTAACCATATAAAATATTCTAGACTGATACACCATATTCGCTCAGAATCATTTTTCATAAACAAGTTTATGTACAATATACATATCGATATTATATTCAAATTTAATACCATCCATAAACAGCGACCTTCTAGACACCTAATGTATAGCAGAGCGACATCCACTTGCCAGCTTTTCTTCAAATAAACTGTTAATTAGATGACTTTTTGAAATTTCAAAATTAATATTCAAGTAATTTTTGAGTTGTTAAAATGTAATTATATAGTGTTTATAAAAATATAAAACGGATGTAGGTACGTAAGGTTTTTAATATTTAATTCGTTACTTTCGAGGTTCAGAGTTTACGCTATACATATAACTGTATTTTTCAATAAAAATCTAAGCCTTAAACAAAAAATCTTTAATTCATTGCCACATACAAATTACAAATATGTATATTATTATTTATTACAGAAAATATTTATTCATATTATAAATTTTTTATTTAAAGTCTATAATATCATGGCCAACGGGCATATAGCCAATCAGCCAAACATATATTTATCATAATAATTAAATTAATAGTACTTTAAGAATAACTGAACAATTATGGGCTCGATGTATTTCAAATTTAAAAACACATTTTTATCGTACCTACCGAAAAAAGACAAACTTTAATAAAATATAAACTTTTTCAATTAATTTAATTACATATTGAAAAATAACTTGTAAGTACACCTACCGTTATACTTTGTTGTGAAAAGCCACTCGCTATAAGTTAATTGGTTCGGATTTCTGAATAAAGTAACTACAACAACTACCTACCTTAAAAGTTAAAAGTTTTGAAAATAACTACTAACTCAATTTTGAAATGCTGAGTCTTATATATACATAATAAACCCGCGTGTATTTGATGTATTCATTGGCGGACGCAGGAGTTTTTCATTGAGTGTGAAGAATAATTTTAGTAGGGGTAATTCTATCTCAGCATACCTAATTATTATACGACCATGAAGGATAATATTATTGAACGAAGTTAAAAATATGTAAGTCGCGTTAAAGTTTTATTTAGCTTAATATATGTACAAAAAATGCGTGTTTCATATTTTTATTCTATTTACACTATTTATATGCCACTAATAATTTATCATTGGTAATAATATACTAGCTCATTGCAAATTAATCTAAAATTATACGAATGCACCAAAATTGTTCGCACTAACATCAAAAGACGAATGGAACCTTAGTGAAATAAATTATTTTAAAAGTTAGATATGTTTGGATTGTGTTTTCTATTTCGTTGTTTTTGAGGGAATTAATTGAATTAAAAAATAGGTACCTTCTTATTGAAAACTCTCGTGGTATCTGTATACTTAGACTAACCGTATAGTCCGTGTACGTCAATATAGATACTATATTGTTTAACTATAATACTGCATACAAGGGGGAGGTGGATTCCAGACTTTCTTGGACTTTCACTGCAACTACGGCTTTGCCTCCCCCGTATAAAGAAGACGATTATGAAATGCAACTTTGTACCAGACAAATTCACCGATACAGAATGTACATGGGACATTGAAACTGAAACGGCCTTTGAGTGCGGGTTGCATATTCTCGTTCCAACGCTTCTCGTGTGGAACTAGAAAATACAAATATGGCAGTGGAAAATTTAAAACCTACCGATTTATATTACGAAGAGTTATCAACTTTCAATAATCAGTTCATTGCTCCGGCACCGGTTTCAAATGCACGGCAATCAACAGAGGCCGTTGCTCAAGAGGATAATAGGGCCCATTTATTAATCCGGCTGATATCGTTTTACAACGTTTAGTAAATAATCAAAAGGAAATTGAATATAGAAGTGACGTTGTTAAAAACATCGACGTCGACCGTGATGATGCAATACAAACTAGTGAAGAATTAAATTACGCAATATTATATATTATTATACATGGATATTATATTTATAAAACATTTTCAATAAAAACCGAGGATCAATTTTTTTATTATAGTCTTGAAGGAAACATGCTCGTTTCCATCGATGCAACCTAATACTACTTCGGAGCTCAGACATTTCAAATATAGATAACATTTTGTCCGTCAACATTATAATTGGTGTACCTTGTACAGAAACGTAGTCTCGATATTTCACACGTACTCTAGTGGTTTCACCAGCTAATAATTCCTTTACCTGTCTTACGTGATTAGCCTCATATTGCGGTCCGTTCCATAAAATAATTCGTCGATCGGCGGCGTCCATGAATGCAAAATTGTTGTTTTTGTGAATAGTTCCAAGATACCCATAATTTATAAAGTAAGCCACTACAGCATCAAAAAAATAATTTTTCCCGGCATTTGTCTCGCCGTGTATTGCAAGTGTATTTAATTTTGGAACTCGTTTGTCTATTACATTTAATAAATCGATTAAAAAATTACGAACCTGTTCAGTATCGTTTTCGTATTGATGCAGTAGCAATTGATTGGCAATTTTTACAGAAGTATCTACATCGTAATACACGTTGTCGTTGTTTGTACTGTACCCGTTAAAATATGGTTTGACATTGGGATCGTTGTAGTAGTTATTAAAATCTGACAATTTCCACAAACCTAATTTTGCGCACCAATTTCGTAAGTCTTGTTTCACGTATTTATTGTTAGTAAGTGTATTTTTTAAGGTATCATTCAGATAAAATTCTTTGATGTAATGAAAATCTTCCGGGGGACACGTAGGATACTCATAAAGTAATTGTGTTATCGTTAACGGCCAGTTTGCCGGCCGCTGAAATTGAGAGTCTTGCGTAATTTTTTGGCGTTTTTTGACGTTGCTATTCCCGCTGCCATCTTTTTCGCCATATAGTTGCCCAGGTTGACGAACAGGTTCTTTGCTCTGAAAGTCACACGAGTCCTCACGTCTGCTCCCGTCCAGTAGTCCTCCTTTTCTCTGTCGCTCATATCTCCTTTCCTGTGTAACAACAATTTATCATTTAGTATGTTGGCTACGTTGATTAAGTGTTAGTAAAGAATAGTGTTTTTCAACTCTTAAAAGGTTTGGTTAGGTTTTATCTTTTAATTTGCTTTCGTTATGATATGTGCATTTATCACTGCGAAAGTGCGAACAGAGTTACCGTCGTATTTTTCGTTAAATGATTTTTTAATAGTGTTTTCTAAGAATTTTAAATTATCAGCCAACAAAAAAGTTTCTGGAGTCGCAACTAATAATTTACATAAAAAAATGGACTTTGATTGATCGATGTGTAAATATGTTTGTACTTCAATATCGATAAGACAATTATATACATATGTAATAATCTGTATTGGTTGTTCGATTTCTATGTCGTTAAAATTTTATCGGTACCTATTATTAGTACGAGTTAAAGGTCGAATATAATTAATATAATTTCGTCGGTGATTTATAAAAACCACGACGTGTAGATAATTTTATCAAATATTTTTTTTAGTTTACACACCGATAGACATTTATATCGATCACATAATTCTCCGTCTTCTGCGAAGCCACCAATCCTGTGGAGGAATTTAGTGCCCTCAGACAGGTTCCGCAGTACGTTAACGTAGTCGATTGGCCGCAACTCAACTCCTCTGGTAATGCTCCGAAGCCGACGTATTTCGTCCTTGGCCCAGAAAGTACTTCGAAGGAGCCAAGGACATCGACAGGAACCGTTGTTGTAGGCACACGCGTGTGCGACGTGAACGTGGTCTCCGTGACTGGCGACGATGTGCCAATGCCGCGGCGGGTATCGGTCGATAAGGTTGTCCAGTTCCTGCAAACACTCGCGAACTGTGTGAAGTCCATCCGGCGCAATGACGGAACTGATAAATCGGTGTTGGCCAGTAATAGGTTTCGTGTGCATAGTGCGCGCAAGTCTGATCATGACGTCGTCAAAGTCGTCACCGAACGAGTCAAAATCGCCGTCATCGCCGTTGGTGCCATGGTTTCGTTCGGTTTCGCTTGTATGTCCTCCACCGACCATTTTTTCGGATGCGTCGTCACCGTCTCCACCGATTGTGACGGACAGTGCACCTGAATAATCAAAATTAGACAAATCACATTGGACGTCCCTTCGTTTTTGGTTCTAAATTACCTCTCAAAATCCGACCCACTGCAGATCTGTCTCGATCGATATGTTGTTGATCATTCCCTTCAAACATCCCACTTCCAGATCCGCTGCTTTCGGGGCCAATAGTCGTTTCATCATTTAAATTGTCATTTTTTCTGGTACTGCTGACTTCTTTTCGTTTCCAGACCGCCTCAAACCACTTGTCCCAGAAAAGTCTCTCGTCTGCGATAGATGAACTGTCACCACTGTACTGTCTTTTGTTCATGATTTCTTGAAATATAAAATTAATTAAAATTTAAAAAACTGTTGTATGAAATGTTACTTGTAAATATCAATAAGCGAACTGAATACTGTTTTTCTGTGGCGTTCTTTTATATGCTAATGAGACAATGTTATCGTAAGCACTTATCGTATATTTTTTTCTCAATCATAAAATAAATAACAACTACTACGACTGCAGACTGGTCTGCTTGTAATTTGTTTTTTATATAATATAATAATTACAACAATATCCATTATCAGTTTCGTTATAACTATATCCTTTATCAGTGTTGTAACTTTTTAATGTTCGATGCTCGCTCAAATTGAATATAATTTAATTTAACCATCGACGTCAACAACGACAAACTTACCTTGATTGATTCAGCTGCCACTATCGCCCACGCAACACACACACCGCCATCGTATTAATTTCCCATCACCCTGGATTCCCGTTTTCTAACAATATACTTATATTTCAAAATTATCATACGTTTCACGATGCTCGAGTATTATACGCTTAATAGATATAATATTATAGTTTGCAGTCGTTGTGCGGCGGCGAAATATTTCGATCGACTGATTATAATATTCGGAAATAATGAAACATAATAAAAGAAATCGATTTTAATAAATTGTCTTATAGTTACTACTGTACCAGATATCAATGTTTAAATGTATTAATACTCAATATTATATTATCTACATTTAAAGTGCACTTAATAATTGATACACAATAGTATATTAGTCTATTTCATTGATTTTTTTTAAAAATTTTTTATGAATAATTTATATTTTTGTAAGGGAGAGTATTATGGCCGCCACGTCTGAGCTACACACATTTTAGTTGTTTTTTAGTATATTATGTTTAAATTTGGTTTACTATGACCCCCTATTTTTTTTGAGAGTGCTTAATTACAACTAGTTTATATTGAAATGTATTAAGTTAACACATTTTGCTGGTGATGTACATACAGCTATTTTATATTGTTAAGAAAAACGAAAACATCTTTTCCACAGACGACTCATCAATTTCATTTATAAAAATGACCAGTAAACCATGACGTCTTTTTACAGATAATATACCAGAATAAATACCATAAGTTATTGAATAATTGATCCATTACCCATCACATCGGATTGTCTCAGACGAGGGCACAACACCGACGTTTTCGCAGAACAGCAACGACATTTCTGTCCGTCGAACGGAACGTGCTGAGACAACTTAAAATAAAAGCGCGACTCGAATCACAACTGTGTGCGTTTCGTTATTCGTACATGAGACCAAAACTTTTTTTGTCAACTTGTCGTAAGTTTTACACTTTTACCTGTACTTTAAAATCTTTTTGAAGTCGTATATTTTAACATAGGTTAGGTACTATATTATTATAAATATATTGATGAAAGACTATTATTATTATTCGCGTCAAACTGATTTTCTCTTTCACCCCGGTTCTAATTATTCCATTATTATCCTTTATTATTTACTTCAACTTTCCAAACTATGTTTCGTAAGCCAGCGTTTACCAACTTAACTAATTGTTAGTAGTTTGGTTAGGGATCCTCTTTCTTACTTCGTGTATTAATTAAACACTTCCGGCGTGCACCGTCCACTACCGTAAAGTTTTCCAAAGTAATTAAATAGTAATTATAACATGTAAGATCTTATTAATGTCATTATTAGATACCTACAACAATTTTTTTTAATTAATCAAGTAATTCCAGAGACATTTTTAGGTAGGACTTTTTTTTTGATGGATTAGGGGAGGCGTGGATTTTTTGTACATGAACATACTTGCGTTCATAATTATTATTATTATAATAATAAATTACACACACACACATTCATGTATAATAAAATATTACAATATCATAATATTATATTGTAATTTATAACCCTTATTATTATCCTAGCTTATATTTAATCATTATTCTCATCATTAAAATCAATAATAAAAGCGTATATATATATATAGTATGAATAACTGTGTATACTAGTACACAGCCACTGCCTTATTGTAAATCACTCTTAAAATCTGAAATAGCGAATTTCCTATATTTTATATTACTTATAACTTATAAGACATTCATATGTATAGGTACTTATATGATATATAGTATAGGACCATTTGGTGTCACAATTTTTGTAATGTCACTTTTGGTAACACAATTTCGATACAATTATAAACAATTTTTTTAACGACCTTATAAATGAGAACTATTTTAATGTACATTTAATTCACTAAATGCACAAGATACACAATACATTTTCGGAGAGTAATAAAAGTCGCCTCCTCGTTATACTCTCTGGGTAATGCTAAATAACTGCAAGTAAGTTTTTTCTAAATTATATATTATAAAAATGTGATCAAAAAGTGCTATAATATTTTTCGTCTAAAAGGGGAAGTAGTTTTAAAATATTTGGGCGAAAAACGAAAGGTAATTTTTGGGCGAAAAGAGTCCCACCCACCATTTTGTATTACTTTTCAGACTAGACCTCTCGGAGACGGTTATTTTGGTCTCCTATGTATATTTTCTTATATCTATTTGTATTTTGTATTTTGAATTTTCTATAACTTATAAAATCAGGTTGAATTTATTTATCATCGCATTGTTTTTGTTATTATTAAAATCATATTGATATTTTCATTAAGTTTCACAATAATTGTATAGTTTTCCATAAGTTAACTTTTGTTGTAATTTTATTTCATTATTTTAGAAACTATTTATGGTTTATATAAGCTTCTAGAGCTTCTTGTTAACAGTTTGTATTTGTTAGTTAAGGATTTTAAATTCTTTGACATTATACACATTTATTTTAGCATGTTTCAAATCAGTGGTTTCTAATTGACTAGTAGACTGACCATCTAAACTTTTAATTAAAACTTTACTTGGTTTTTCGACTTTTGTGTGGGTTTTTAGTTGCTTTTCTCAAAGCTGTCGTCGACAACAATTGTGTGCTCTGAATCATTTCGGTCTACCGAGAGGTTCATGGTTATGATTTTCATTATTTGCTTTCATCTGTTTTGAAAGTCCAAAAAATTGTATGTAAGTTGGACATTTTTAACATAACAACGCCATTATTGTCTTGAACGGTTTAGTTCGTTTGTTGTACGATCGAAATAAAATTTATGCTAAAGTCATATAAACAATCGTATAAAATATACGAGATTAATGAACGCACTACTAATACCACGTTCACTAGTACTGAATTTTCTATATGCCATATTTTCTATAACCTTGGTTACCAATGAGTAAAAAAAAAGCTATTTAATTAAGTTTAAATTATAGTTTCAAGTTGTAAATGCTGTAGCCAGGGGGAGGTTTAGGGTTCAAACCCTCACTCGAAATTAACAAATGACATTTGAAATTTGAAAATTTGCTAGTAAAAAACATATTTATAGGCACTCTAAACCCCCTCCTCCGAAAAAATCGTTTGCTAGCCATGACCCTAGACGAACAAACTATGCAGATATTTTTATTTCGTAATATATCTATGGACTTTAATGTCTCATTGGTAACGACGGTACAATACTCGTTTTGCTTGAATTTTGTCGCAATGCACACCACTGTATTATTATTATTATTATTATTATTATTTGTACAACTATAGTAATTACCTATTGTTCATTACAGAAGGAGCAATGCGACTACTAATGTTTTTATTTCCATTTCCAAATCAAATTTAAGTCGAATAGCGATCACCGAGAGACAGTATCATTATGGACATAATAATTGGACACGCTGCTGTGTACAATATAAGACAATATTAATGAATTTCGACTTGATTTTTTCATCAATTTATCTCCGTCAAACATTTACGGTGACATCGAAGTCGTCGTTATTTCTCCGTTATTGCAGCATCTGTTTGTTAGAAAACCGTTCAACCATTCGGTTTTCCTCTCGGACATATTTTTTTATGTACACATTTCGTCTGTCTCGTCTGTCTAGCCGTCATAGTTATATTGCAGTCGAGTCATTTTAATTAAACGTAATAATTATGTCGTCCGACTGTGTACAGGTTGTCTGCTTTCGTGTGTAGTGCTGCTCTATATAGTTAGATAATGTTATGACGTATACCCTGCAGGGAAATCACAAAGGTTAGAAACCTTGTCTCGTTATTGTTTCGTTCTCCGCGTTATAGTCGTGCACATATATCCCTGAATGCACGACGTACCTAATAATGTGTAGAGCATAATATATTATATTGTTGATCAGAATAGAATATCATCATCTCGTTTGCTGTGTTGACGTAACACAATTTTTGTACACCTACGCAGTTCTTATTTCTTTCTTCGATGGAATTGTTTTTTTAACAGAACATAATATATAAATAGACAGAGAACACATTTTAAAACATGGCTCTTTAAACTATACGTAAAAAATCCAAAAATCATGTAATGTAATCAATAATGAATGTATAATCAAAAGAAAAAACGGGGGTCGATATAATATTTGTCAAATCATCTTGTATAATATATAGTAATATAGTTTGTGTATAAATTCTAGTTTAAACGTACAAGTGTTGTGTTCGATAAATATGTTAAACGGACGGCGAAGTCGTGTTGTACACGGTTCGCGCCTTAATTATACGCATTTAGCTATTAATCGATTTACATTTATAATTTACAACTATAGGATTTAGTTTTAGTAATAATCATAATGATCATATATATATAGTGCCTACATACATCACGCCATTCGTTTTCATGAGACAATACAATATGCTCGTTTCTGTATATTTGTTGCATTATACGCATATACGCAACAAGGATTACATTAGTCAACTGCAGACTAAATTTAATATTTTTGTAACACTCACGATATTCTAATACACAACGCCTAAACGTCGTCAGACTAATGTCTAATTTAAAAATTATTTTTACTTTGGCTAGGCGTACACACACACACACACACACACATATTATAAAATATACATTACACATATACCTATACGTATACCTCCTACGCATAATATCTTCGAATGAGAACCAAAAGCGTATATTATACAGCGCATAAACTCATTCCCTTTGCTTTCGAATATTATTAATATTTATAGGCACTATAATAATAATAATAATAATAATATATACCCATATATGTATATATATATATGTATTATGCACATAAATTCACAGACTC